CGTTTAGACTCCGTCGGCTAATTTTGACTTTATTTTTAAAGTTATATTTTTAACAGGCCGGGACAGGAAAAGTCTGTTAAAAATTCATAACTTCTTCATCCGATGTCTGTTTTTGTCTGTCTTTTTACCGTTGTACTACTATTGACGAGACCTTCGATTCTCATTTAGGTTGTGTCGGCTAAAAATCATTCGATCTTTATTTTGAGTTTTTAGCTATCTACTCCTATACCGAATCTTAGAAAAATCATAACTTCCTCATACGAAGTCAGGTTTGGACGTTCTTTTTAAGAAAATTCTCGGTTTAACGAATACTACGGCTTTTATTTAGATCACTAAAGCTAAAAAGTAGTTTATCGAAAACTCACTTTTTACGTCATATGGCGTCGTGCCGATTCTGTCGCGAAATTTCAATAAGTCATAACTTCTTCGTTATAACTCGGATTTCTATGAGGTTTTCGCCTAAATGTTTCTAACGAGATAATTTACAACTTTCAATAACATTATTTTTTTTACTTATTTCCAATTTTATATTTTTGTTAATTTCAATAACTGACATTTGATTGGAATCTCATAAGATTTCTCATCACTTTCTGTACGATTCCAAACATAGTTTTACTTCAATTCTCGTAAAAACTATCATGTTAGAACTCAACGCTCAAATTCATATAATATTTGATTATATTATTCACTTTTAAAATTACATAACACGATAACTGAACGTGTATGTTACAGATAAGCATCCAGTATAGTCATGTACTGGTAGAAGATGTAGAATAGATAATATTATAGCTTTTGTATTTAGTGTATAAATTTTTGGGAAATTATGTAATATATAAAACTTTGTAAAAACCTCGTTAGTTGGTTTGTATCCAGTCTTTTGTAACAAAACCATATATGTAAAATATATTTATGAATATGCATGTAGCATGTTTAGAGTAATAATATAGTAAAGTTAAGTAAGAAAGGGGTTCTTTCATATATATATATATATATATATATATATATATATATATATATATATATATATATATGAAGTGAGTGAAATTTAACAGTAATAGGATATAACAGAGTACATTAGATTGAATAGAAATGGGACTTTACGGAAATATGATATCGAGTAAAGGCGAGATATATTATGGTGGAAGAATTAAGATATATGCATAGAGTGAGAAAGATTAGAGAAGTAACTATGAGGAAGATTATAATCTAAGAGAAAGAAAGTTAATATAAGATAGGAGAATAACTCACCAGACCTAATGTCTGATGTAGTAGGGATTTCTGTGTTTTTGCAGGTAAAAGTATTAGCAACTGTGGTACTGGAAGAGAAGACATGAGCACAAAATTAAGATTCAGATTGTAGGATGTTATTGTTGTATTCTTCATTTTATATAAATAGATAAAATTTATATTGTGTTTATTTGATTTAACCTGGGATATAAAAGTTTTAAATTTTGAGCATATTTTTCCGCATTAATAAATAAAATCTTGATAATTCTTATAGATTAGATGTTTTAGATCGAGGGTGTCACAATTTATTTCTATCCACTTAATTATAAAAGCTTGGATGGATGAGAAGAAAATCGCTACATGGGTTTCATCGAAAGTCATGGGTTTCATTAGTGATCTAAGGAATTCCGAGTACCCCAATGAATTTCTTAGAAAGCCACGAACTATAGTATAGTATCAATAAAGTTAGAAATTATTTGTTTGCTTATATATGTCAAAGTTGAAGTTGAAACATTGAAAAAGAAAAAAAATGGAAAAAGTTATGAAAAAAAAGAGAAAAAGAGAAAAAAAAAGTTCCACAAAAACATGAAGTTGCAATAAAAGCTTAGTTATATTTTTAGGTCAATAATATTATATAGTATTTTTCATTTTAAAGTCGAGTCACTCGGAATTTGGCAATAACTTTTGAAACGAATGGGGGTAAATAAAAGAGCGTAGGTGATAGGAATGCCAAAAATGAAAGTTGTTCAAAATAAGTGAGAAACGTTAAGTATTTAGGATAATTTATACACAAATACATGCATTGAGGTGAGATGTAATTAGCGAGTTCAATTCAGGTTCTTTTATGTGATGTTGGTATTCTATATTCTATGTGATGTATTAAAATAAGTTTTGCTTGAGGGCAAGCAAAAGACAAGTGTGGGGTAGATTGGTAGTGTCATATTTATACATATATTTATGCATTATTTTAATACATTTAAGCATATTTTGGTAAAATGCAAAGATATTTGGTACTTATAATGTATAAATTCTATTTTGCAACCAAAAAGGACATTCTCAAAGAAAAATGGTTGAAACTGAAGAAAGCCGGAAACTTGGAGGTTAGAGAGCACATTGAAATGAAAAGAGAGAATAAAATCGAGAATAATGAAGTTCCCATGTCGTGAACAACTACATCCCATGACGTGGAGTTTGGAATCTTCTCGATTCGTGCATGAAGAGCTTCTTACGACGTGAACATCTATTGGTCACGACGTGAAGACATGTCAATCATAGAACCTTCTCCAGCATGCATGGATGCCTTGGCACATACGGGATTAATATGTTTCTTACGATGTGACACTCATATTCTCACGATGTGAAAGCTGAATTAAGGCAAGTATATAATAATGGACTTTAGGTCGAAATCAAAAACTCTTTTGTAGAAGCTGCGATTGAAAAGCGACAAATACTCGTCTAAGAACCCTTAGAAGGCAGAAGAAGATTATATATCAAGAGTTTAAGATATTAGAGCAAGAATACCACATAATTCATTCGGTTTGCCTCGATTTAATCATGTTTAACCTAGCTTTCTATTTAATTGTGTGTTTTTCTTCTGTAAATTATAGGCTAATACCTTTTAACTTTCGTTTGCATAAGATGATCTCTAATACTATGTGTTAGTTTCTCTTTTCATGGGTTATTGAAGTTCGTTTAGCTCGTGTTTGATAAATCACTACCTCGATATGTTAAAGTTTTTATCTTTACTGCTTACCATTCAAGTTTTGTGTAGTTAGATGACCACGATGATTGCATAGACTTGTTGCCTAGTTATTTATGACCATTAGATTTCCAGAGCTAGTGATTTACCAAATCCTAGATTAGGTGATAAAGTTAGTTGCTTAAATTGTGCTATAGAGCATTACTTGATCATAATATGTGCTTTGGTTATTTGTCTTATTCGTAGATAATTAATCCTTAGATTTATCATTCATAGCCCAAAATCTTCATAATCAATTTGCATGAATTGGTGAAAACATTAGGAGATTGGACCAAGACTTCTAGTAACATTTAAATTTGTAGCCAACTAAAATTAGTCCATGTATTGAAATGAACTATAGGAAAAAGGGTGATTCGAAGCTATACGGAAGTATCTTTATCTCTCGATTTAAAATCTTCTTTACTTTTTGCTTTAGTCTAAAAGCTTTTAGTAATTAATTTAAGTTAATCTGAACTTGCAAAATCAGATAAAACCCCCATTATTAAGTTGTTTTTAATTAGTTTAGTTTTTAGCATTTATTTTGTTAATTAAAATATCATTCCCTGTGATCGACTCCTTACTTACTCTACTTTACTACTACGCGACTAGGTACAATGTCCAATGTGTGTTTTAACTAAGTTGAATAATTAAGATTATAAATTTAAAGCTTTTTGGTATACATAATGAAACACATCAACCTACGATCACCGGTATATTGAAGGAGCTAAAACTTCCTGTGATTTGCTCCGGTGGGTTAAAAATTGGGATAATAAATTAAAAGGGTAATATATTTTTCGATTTGTACACATTTGGTCACAGATTTTTTTTCCGTCCATATTTATCATTTCAACTTGTTAAACTGTACACATTCAGTCATTATGACTGTTACTCCAGGTAAGAAGGGAAAATGACTTAATAGAGTAATATATTTTTCATTTTGTACATATCTAGTCCTCAATATTTTTTTTTGTAGTTTTAGTCCTTCATATTTTTTTGTTGCAAAATAAGTCTTTGTTTTTTTACACATTCAGTACTTATGACTGATTTATTTAGGTTTTTCTCACGACATCCTATATGCGACAATCATTGATGAGGTATTTGGGGTTGTTGATGGTTATGTCCATCGCGCCTCGACTGCTTGGTTGCTTAAGCCTTGTGGTTTGGCTTAGGTCTTGTGTTCTGAACGTTGCAACTTCTTCATACGATCTCAGATTTTAATGATCTTTATATCTACGCGTTCGTATTTGAGTTAACTACAACTTTCATTAAGATTACTCCCATTAAAAAAGTAATATATTTTTACTTATGATTTTATTAAAAAACGTTTATACATACATTCATAAAAATGCATGGATATAAAGAACGTAAGTAAAAATATATTACTTTTTAAAAGAAATAATTTAAACGAAAGTTATTGTAGACTCAAATACAAACGCATGAATATAAAGATTGTTAAAATCCGAGATCATATGAAGAAGTTACGATGTTCAAAACACAAACCTAAGCCAAACCGCAATACCTAAGCAACTAAGCAACCGAAGCCGCGTTGCCCATAAACATCAACAACCCCGAACACCTCATTAATGATTGTGTCGTGTAGAATGCAATGAAAAAATCTAAAGAAATTGTTCATAAGTACTGAATGTGTACAAAAACAACAATGACTTATTTTGCAACAAAGAATATACTAAGGACTAAAAGTGCAAAAAAATATTAAGGACTAAATGTGTACAAAGTGAGAAATAGATTACAATATTAAGTCATTTTTTTGGGTTTATCTAGAATAGCCGGTTCATAAGGACTAAATATGTACAGTTTAACAAATTGAAGGAGTAAATATGAACGAAAAAACATCAACGTATACAAATCAAAAAATATTATTATCCCTTAAAAATTAAAAATTGGATGGATGCTAGTTAGATAAAGAAAAGTACAAAGGTAATTGAAACAGATTGTTTATAGACTAGGGGGCGAAAAGGAAATTTGGAAAAGGGGATAGTACCAGAAAGGAAAGCATTGCTGATTTATCAACAGCTGGCTCTTCGGAAAATTAAAGTCAATCAATACGTTCCCCAACAACCGCCATGAATTTATCTCAGCTTTCTCTCTCCACCGCACTCTCTCATACTCTGCAGCTTCCCCACCGCCGGAGCATTCATTTTCAGTCGTTCAACGTTGCAGCTTCTTCTTCTTCTCCTTCTTCGCCGACGACTACTTTTTCGAATCACCGAGTTGTTGTTACACGGGAGCGTGGTAAAAATGGCAAGCTCATGAAAGCTCTTGTAATTTCCTTTTCATTGTGATTATATGTTTTTGCTGTTTCTGTTGCTCTGCTTTTATTTTAGTTTGATTATGCGCATTGCCATAAGCTGTTTATAATTTAGGTTTTGGTTATTTTTGATGTTTTATGTAGAAAGTATATATACCGTTAGGTTAATATACTTTTAGGTGTTCACAAATTATTGCCAGGTAGGTATTCGATCAAATGCGAGACAGAATATTGTAGTTTTTCTAATGTGTAATTTTTGCTTCTCTCCTCTATGAATTGCGTTTCTTTCCACATATTACTAAAATCTCAAGCTAAAACTAATCATTTACCGGTTGTAGTCAATACAAATAATTGATGTCATTCATTATGACATACAATATTACATTGTTTTGTAACTAACTACAGTGATTCTAAGTATTGGACGAACAGGTAAAACTTTCTTAATGAGATTAGAATTGCAATTCGACACTTATTTCTGTTTGAGCTACTTGGTTTACAACACATAGGAATTGATAGATATATGATTTGGCAAAAGATAGCATTCACAATGGTTAGCAATTATATCTCACCTTGTCATTTTAAAATTGGGGTAACCTGTTTTGTGCAAGGTTAACAACTGTATCATCACATTTACCTGTATTCGTAATATATGAAAATTTTGGATAGTCCACTATGATAGAGGAACACAAGACATGAAAACACAGTGAGATTTTGGATATGATGATAAGCACACAAGTTCAATCCATCAAAATGTTTGCAGGAAAGATTTTTTAAGGCCTTTTCATATGCTAGTGCCTAGTATTTGTATTTGAAAAGAAAACAATTATAAATTATTACCATGTTATCATGAATCCGTTACAAAATGGAAATTGCCACAATGTAAAAATTGTAATATTTCTTATAGTTTTGGATGTTATATGTACTTTCTATTTAAACAGGCACCACATGGGATCCATTGTTTGGAGCTTCCCCTAATTCAGCATAAACATTTACCTGATCTGGACAGAGTTTCTGCTCTATTGAGTGGTAACTTGACTAACTTCCTCTTCTTATGATTTCACTTGTAGTTTCAACTTTCAACTATGGTATCTAGGGTTTAATACTTAATTCTTTCTCTTTCTTGCACTTTTATGTTGGCAGCAACTACTTTTGATTGGATCATCATCACTTCACCTGAAGCAGCCCTCGTCTTTCTTGATGCCTGGAAGTATGCACACAACTTTCCTCCATATAATAATAAGCTACATTTCCTTCTATATAACTTTTTAATCAATATTTTTAAGGTGCAAATATACAATCTTACAACTTTCTACTCTTTATGATTCCTAGAGGTGCTGGTTCCCCGAGTGTGAAGATAGCCGTGGTTGGAACTGGTACAGCAAGCATATTTGATGAAGCTCAATCCATTGATGTTGCATTTGTCCCATCAAAAGGTAGTTTTTGATATGATGGATTCCGGGAAGGAATGGAATGGCCCATTCCATTCCACTGCCCAACCAAACATAATTATGGAATGTAATGAATCATTCCATTCCATTCCATTATACAAGAATCAATGTTTAGTTTTGTGGACTTTTACAGCAACCGGGAAGGTTCTTGCTTCAGAGCTGCCAAACCATGGGAATGAAAATTGCACTGTTCTATATCCTGCTTCTGAAAAAGCTAGTCATGACTTAGGTATCATATCAAATTATCAGTCATCAATTATCACCCCTATTTTATATCTAAATTTCACTTTTTTTTTTTCTTTCTTTCAGAAAATGGGCTTTCTAAACGTGGATTTCACGTCACACGATTAAATACTTACACAACGGTATATAACCATATACTAAACTCGATTATATTTACTGTTTATACTTTATAATCAATAATTAATTTTTTTACTTCTTTTATTAGGAAACTGTTCAACATGTGGACCAAATGATTTTTGAACAAGCACTTTCTGCTTCTGTTGTTGCAGTTGCATCACCTTCTGCAATTAGGTAAGATCTAGTTTCATTTCTTGATTATTTATCTTCATATTTTTTATTTTCATTTGTATGATTAATTTTTGTTGTGAAAACAGAGCATGGATGAATCTTGAATCTGTGTCAGATCGGTGGCATGGTTCTGTTGCATGCATTGGTGAAACCACCGCTTCAGCTGCCAAAAGAATGGGCTTGAGAAATGTGTACTACCCATCCAGCCCTGGCCTTCAAGGGTAATCTTTCTTTTGTGTTCGAGGGTATTTACGTCTTTTACACCTACAAGTACAAGACATAAAAACAATAAGACATAAAAAGTTGCAATTCTTTTTTGTCTCATTCACATCAGTCTCAGTCTACGTGATATTGAAAGTACATTTTTGCAGTTGGGTTGACAGCATTATTGATGCTTTAGGAGTCCATAAGCAAGTCCAAAAGGTATAAGCCCATCCACAATGCAACTTTTCTAGGTAACCTCTCTCTAAAATGTCTTTATTATTATTATTTTTAATCAAAGTAAAGATTTTAATTTTTTTTCATCTATTTCTCTTTTCAAGATATCTGCTGTCGGTGTACAAAAATAATCGAGTAGGAAAATCATGTAAAAAAAAAATTGCTTCGCATTTAAATGTCGAGAAATGATGAGAAACTTGGAAGAGATGCTTCCTTCTTGAATTTGTATATAAACTCAATACTCCTATTGGAACAAGATTTTTTTTTTCTTTTTCACTTGATACAAAAAAAAAAAAAAATGCTTACAAACAACAAATGATAAAAGGCCAAAATTTAGAAAGAAGGTTCTCATTTATCAACGCATACATGAGATGATAACCATTGGTCGGTTTGTTTATGTGAGTACTTGATTTGTGTCACTTGTGACCTTAAATACGGATTTGTCACCATCCAAATATCACACCATCGATACTTCAAAACAACATATTCCAAATTATTGACATCCAACACTGGCCCCATATTTATAAATGTGACCCCTGTTAATACGCAGTGTTGTCACTTTCTACCTCCATGCCCATGACATGACGAGAAACCAACATTAAGAAACAAAGAAAACATTAAGAAACAAAGAAAACGATGATGGGATAAATGTATAATACTGTGTTTGACGTGTATTAGATGAGAAATCAACATTAAGAAACAGAGAAAATGATGATGGTATAAATGTATAATACTGTGTTTGATGTGTATTGGACTGAGATCGAGATCGAGACTGATACTGATATTATTGGGGATGGGACATGGAGGTGGTCATTACTCATTAGGATTTCTTGGACTATTATTGGTTAGGTAACAATTTTTTTTTTTTTAATTTGGACAAAGTCTTGTGAATAAAAGGACAGTGGGGTTATGGTTTCTGAACAAGTATTTGACCGGTGGGTACTATGGAGATACAAACGAAGGGGCAAGAAGGTCAGTTAGTAGCATGTTGTTTCTTATACACTTTTGTGATGGTCCCATCACACGACCACCAGAATCATGAATCATGCACCATGCTCCACCACCATATCTCCTTTCAAGAACCTATGTGGATGGGATTGGACCCTCCCCCTCTCCAAAAAGATGATGACTTCATAGTTTAATCTTTTGACTTTCTTGCATCTTGAATTATGTTGTAGGATTGAGATTTGTTCTTGGGTATCTCTATTTAGTGTTTCTACAGTATTGATGTTTGTGCCATTTGTAATTAAGAGTTGGTATAGTTTCCGGTTTGGTAATCAATTACAGGAAACCATAGATGTTAGGATTCCGAACGAACACAGCTAAAAATGCGAAAAAAAAAACAAGATAATAAGATATGGCATCACATGATTACCTTAATCGTATTACATCCACTGATCCACATGCGAAATACACAAAGGTTTATTGATTTTGTAGTAATGTTTATAATTACTTTGAGATTCCACATAAAGAGCTATGTATTGTGATTTTAATCCTAAAGCTGACAATTATTAGATATCAACCGCAAAGCCATGCTTTTTTTTTTTTTTTTTTTTTTGGAGCTACCCGCAAACCTTGTAAGGGCGGCGGGTTCCCCGGTCTTTCACACTCATTCAGGTCCAAAAGCAAGCAAATCCCATGACTCATCTGTAGGTGATGAACATTAAAAGCACAAGGGGCGAGTTTGTAGAATACTTTGAGAAGTGATTAAATATGTTGGAATAATTGAAATTTAATGGAATTGGATTACGGATGAATTGCACTTTGTAACGTGTGTTTGGTTGGAAGAAATGAAAAGGAATCCAAGAACACAAGAATTGGATAATCATAAATCATTAGGTTCACTTATAGATAATTATACTAATTTTTATGTGTTTTAATACAAATGTGATTTGAGAATTGACGATCTGAATGCATATAAACCTATGCGAACAAAATAAGAAATAGGACACCTGATATCAATGAGATAAATGTTTGTAGTAGGCTTATGGCCGTTAGGTCTGAAGCTATACAAGACAACACTTATTCCATAGGGTGTGCGGGGTCTTTAGGTGGGGGGTAGGATACCACTACCCACTAAGGGTCCGATTTTGTTGTAGTTAAGGTTAAGTTTTATACATTGCATATATAATACGGCTGATAGTTAGAGTTTCAATTGTACTATTTGTTTTCAAGCCGATGAATAAGAATACTCCTCCTACCCTGTGGGTTGTGGATGTATGTCATATTTGATTAAACCACGTTAAATATTGTGTTTTCGTGTGCGTGATTTATTTTCTCGTTTATTCCTAACATAACATAAATAATGGAGGAATTTTGTCTTTTTAATTGAAAGGAAAGATATAATTCAATTACATTTACATCCACCACTACTAGGAATTGTGAAATCCTTCACTATGGAATTTGAAGCAATAAGACGGAATGGAAAAATGGAATATAGGTATATGAGACGTTTTGTATGACGTGTGTGGACTATAAAGACATGAAAGACATCCCGTTAAAAATATATTCGTCCCGTGATTCTTGATGTTTTATTTTTGAGTCATATATGTAGTGATATTTTCGATGGAAGTGCATTTACACTTTTTATATGTATTACGAATAACTGGTATATAGGATGGAAGATACTATATAGTTAAGGTTTATTACAATCATACAGAAGGAATATTGTTGTACATTATTTGTCGTAAATGAACTCAAACTTATCTTTCAATCGACAGAGTTAATTATACTTTTGGATCATTGGATGGAACTTTTGTGTTACAATAATACATAAGAGAATATGATGATGAAACTTGTTGTATACTTCGGGTTTCTGCAATTCAATGTAACATATAATTATAAGTCGTGCTACATTTGCAAACATGTAAAATCTCATGATTATTTTTTTTAACAAATCTAAAGAGTTAATTCATTTAATTTTATTTTTACAAACTAAGTTGTAAAAACTCGAGAAAATAATGAGCTTTATGTACATTAACTTATACATTTAAAAACATATTGATACGATGTATACGCAAACTAATGTATTTATGTATTTGTATAAATGAAGTTGGTTCATCATCACGTATACTATTCTAATTTTGTCTAATTAACCAATGATTCATAGCATACGTTTGCTTTTCTAACTAATAAACGATTCATCTACAAATGAATTAGCAATAAAACTAGGTATTAAACAAATTGACATGTAGTTTTTGTTTTTATTTTTTAAAGCTATAAAGGGGCTGGTTTTCGCAATGGAGAAGAGCGTTTTGTATTGCTTCTTTAAGCCGGCTAGGGTCATATTCAGAGATCACGATGTCTCATTTTTTTATATTGATTACCGTTGTTTTTTTCTAGGAGAATACACAACAAAAAATCTAGCCTTTAGCGGCGACAAATGTCGCCACAATTGATTCCAGCTGTACGCTGGAAATTGACGTAGAAGGAGAGGTGGTTTGTGGTGGTGAAGTACGCCGAAAATTGACGTAATGTGGCAGAAGAATTCGATGGTCGCCGGAGTTTGCGAGGGAGTGGTATGTACCCAGCGAAACTGAGTTTTCTGGACGCAGGGGTAGTCAAATGGAAGATCCCTTTAGCGGCGACGCTTTTTGCGGCGACACCGAACCAATTGCGGCGACAAGTTGGAGGGAAAAACACGCGCCATTCTCTGGATCCTGGTAGCCGTCCGATCTAAAAACAATTCAAGGGTCACGATGAAAAGCACACAGATCGCTATCAATAGCGGCGACTCGTCGTCGCTATTGGTGTCGCCGCTATTGCGTCCCACCAGATGAAACCCTAGCCGATGGATCACTATAGCAGCCTACGGTCAGGATTAAATGGCGTGTGGCACAACAGGATCGCCGGTGGAAGACCTTTAGAGACGACAGTTGTAGTGACGACAGAGACCATTAGCGACGACTTTGTCTAGTGTCGCCGCTAAAGTCAGTTGTCGTCGCTAAAGCTGTCGTCCCTAAAGGTGTTATTTCTTGTAGTGATAGTCACATGAAAATGCGACTAATATCATTTGTATTTAAAATATTTGTATTTAGAATGATTTCCAATTTATTATGGGGATGAAAAAGAGAATTTTTTTTTGTTTTTTTTTGAAGAAGAAATTGAAGAATTGAGGATGTATAAAGGGGAAATCCACTTTATTTACTTGGGTCTTCCAATTCATTTTAGCAGGTGGAGGGAGGGTGAAAAGTTTGGAAAATTATGATCAACCGGTTTCCTAATAAATCATCTTCTTAAAGAAGAATGTGTTACTTATTGGTGGGTGTATTTTAACAGATGGTTGTAAGTCGGATAGATTGTCTCTTATTAAAGGACAATGCCAAAGCCAATATTAACGAATAATGTTGGCAAGCAGATCGTCTAGGATATATAGTAGTCGAAAAACTAGTTGCTAGCTGATAGCTAAAAACTAGCTAATAAAATATAACATTTGATAAAGTAGCATATAAACTAGTTGAAATATGTAAAATACATAAAAAGATATGCCGAAGATTGAGTTTTTCTTTTTATAATCAATAAATGGTATATTTGAGAAGTTTTAAAATACTCAATAAACTCTTTGAAACGTTAGTCTGAATATGATTTTTTTAGAAAAAAAACTAGCTTATAAGTTCGTGTATAAGCTATTTGTTGGTTTGTCAAACATGATAACTTCAAAAAGAAAACTCTAAAAATAAGCTAATTGTAACGTGAAAAATATAGTTTAATGATTGTTGTTGGTGGAAGTCTTTTGGCCCCATGTTTATGACATGATAGACATAAATACCTTATTCTTTGGTTGTATTCTCTGTTTTGACAATCTCTCTTAGGCTAAACGGAGTGGGGATGTTAAGCCCACTCGCTACGTTCGCTAGCGAGCCATGAACACTGCCCTCTAGCTCTCACTAGGGGGGTTGCTATCCGATCCTCGTTACAATTTTGGCGAGAAGTGAGAGAAGGTGAGGGTGAAAGCTGATTGGTGGAGACAGTTCCCTTCTTCTTCATCGTTGATTGCAGGTCCGAAGTTCTCATCGCGTTCTTCGTTTCTGCTTTGTCACCCAAGGAGAAACACACACGGCCCCCTTTCTTCTTTTTTGGTGATAATCTAGGTTTTCTGTGCAGTTGTATAATTCCAACGAGAATAAGTTTAATTAAATTCAGAATTAAAGATAACAAATTGCACAAAGGGAGAAATTGTTCAAGCATGTTTAGACATCGAGTTGTTCACTGGCGTCTGAAAATTTGTCGTTGAGACATATCAGATTAAAAACATCCCAGGCTAAACAAATGGTGTGCACACTGCAGTCATCCCGAGCTCTT